CTCATCAGTACTCCTAGGGGAGTTCGATACCGGGCCGTACCATTATAAATGACGTCGTTACTACTTATTTCAGGTATAAGTATATCTCGAGACTATCAGTAATTTTTGACTTGCTTACTTTATCACAGAGATTTAGGACTGGTATTACGTATAGACATTAGCATACACACCCTCGAGCTAAATTGGCATGACAAATATTAAAGATAATTAGCTAAACCATTCTAAATATATATACCTATACATATATATGTCCATTTATTTTAGTTTTTGACTTATAAGTATTAAGGCCAAACGGCTGCAGTACAACCGGAATCAGCCACCGTCTTCTTGTGAGATCGACCTTAGAATCTCTTATTCACGCATTTCAATACGAATTGAAAGTCTTCCGCCAATGTTATCTCAGAAGAATCATCGAAACTCAGTTATTCTTCTTACATAAACATTAGTCACCCTAGGCCGTTTAGTCAATTTAGTCAAAAATAACTTATTCTAGCCTAGCATACTCGCATCAAAAATAAGTTGCATCGTCGATTGAAGCGGCGAATTCAAGTCTGCCTGATAGGCAATCCCATCTACCATGCGACTCACCAGCATCCACAAGCGATCCGCAAACGACCCGGTTTCGAATCCCGTCGATGAGACTTAGAAGCAATGGAGACCAAAGTTAAGCCTGGACGATAAAAAAATTTTGGAGTGCATTTCAAACATTAGCCAACTGTGGAGATGTAGAAAAACTGGTGTTCGAAGAAGCCCTTAATGGATTCATATTGGCTCACATTTCGTTCCGTTTGAAGAGGTAAGTGAAGGGACTCGTAAGTTGGTCTCACCACTAACGCAGCTACAATGGAAAGCAATCGCATGCGGTAACAGTGCCGGATACAAAATATAAGTGATTTGAGGGAGGATGCAAATGTACGGTCACAATTGCATCTTTTTTAAGCTTCATCTTCAGCCACTTCACATGTCATCCGCAGCCACCTCACTTTGCAACAAGCCTGTAGGGAAAACATAGAATATCCAACCGAATCATAAGATATTTTATTAAATGGGCAAAGTTAGGCCATAAGAAGTAGGCTGAATTGCATTAGGCCACCTTTTTGGTTTGTGTGTTTTTGTATAGTCTCGTAAAGTATGACATCCTGTTCTGACGATGTCCGTCACATGATAGACAAAAGTTTCGCAAGGATTCATCTGGGCTGCGGGACAGTGAGCTAAGGACTTCTTCATACAAAGCTACAGTGACAATTCCAAGAGAACCACCCTTCGACTTTCGGTAAGACTAACTTATGAATCCCTTCCACTCACCCCTTAAGATGAAATTAAAGCCTTCCACTTCAACATTGGGGTTTGACTGTGTCCAAGGCCATCACAGGTTGGATGAACTCGAGCTTTGTGGCCCTTCGAGGGCCATCTCTCACCGGTCACAAATGTCGCTTAGTCCTGCGTGGTGTCATCTGGTTCCTTCACAGACCTGAGCTCCTGATGCAGCTTTGTGGCGAGTTACAAATATCCCAACTCAAAACTGCGCGTGGACCCTAACTAAGAGCTGAATTCCCTCCAGGTCGCATAAATTGACGAATTTTTCTGCAAGCATATGAGGGGGCCTCAAATTTCGACAGAATTTCACTCGGAATTTTTCACCAACATGTGATCTTATTGAGGCTGGACCGGACTACAGTCTCGGAATTCTCTAGGTCTCTTCAGGTCAAGGGGTTTGTTGAGACAGTAGTCCACCCTCGAGGAAACGACCTCTTTGGAAGCAGGACTGTGTGAAATTCAATGGGAACAAGAGACCCAATCATATTATTATGGGAACATCCAACCATCACTCTTTTATCACCTTTCGCGATCTAGTCCCTAATCACTTCTATTCACCCCTAACAGTTTGCTACAGCACTACTCGAAACTTGACTCCGGCAGCTCCCGCAATTCAACTGGTCCTAGCTGGAAGAACTTCCCAGATTTTCCAGTCTCCCGAAGCTCGTCAGCTGGACTTCGGAGGATGATGTTTTCAGGTGTTAAGGAGACACATTTTTAGCCCATATAAAGAAAACTCTGTTTAACAGCAATTGGCTAACATCGTAACTGGCCCAAATGCACATTGTTTCGTGTACACTTCAAGAGATTTTGCATCCATTTTTAGGGTCATGTTGTATGTTCTTATCAACCCAGTGAAATCTGGGTAGATACTTGAGCTCATAATCGTTACGAATGCAGGAGACCACATGAATCGGAATCACAGCTACGATATTCTTCCTCCCTCCGGAAAATGTAACCTGCAATTAAGAGGATAAGAGATATGCTTAGAAGAATAACGATTTAAAGGATTTATTGCATATAAATTATATAGTATTACTAATTACCGAAATCAGCGCAATATTTAGATAAAGATATTGTTCCATAATCAAAGGTGTGCAATTATGAGATAGCCCAAACAAAACCGCTGCGGGTCTACCATGGTTGTTGCAAACTACCTTCCTCATGTGAGCGTCTTGTGCGGCAACAAGTAGTTGAGTCTAGGGATCTGAGGTTGCGAACTGCATGTCTACTGCTGAGAGTAGAAAAAAAGAGGCCAGTTAAGGCAAGTGATCAAGATTGACGTATGAATCGCTTAAGTTTTGCTGGCTAGGCCGCATTTGAGAAAGAGATAAAACCCGCCACCAAAGGAAGTCAATTCAATTGGTTAGGCCGTCTTTTGACCCTCCTGCTCAACACCTGACCTTACACTTTAGATTTATCAAATCACACGATGGTACTTTTACAGCCGAGCTCAATCCTCTTAACGCTACTCTGATCTATGCTTCTAGATTTGAATATAACCTTTGTTCTATATAACCCAACCACACACAACTATGCCCTTTCAAACTTTGACCCATCACTGAAAAATTGTCTGTTAATAAAAAATCCCTATACTCTTCGTACAATTTGTTATAATTTTTTCCTCCATTATATGCCAGCTAGCTCCGGTATTCTTTGTTCGAGTGTTAGTGTCTAACGAGGTCAAACAACCCACTAAAAAGGGGACGCTTTAATTGCGATGGTCATTTATGGGCCAAAAGCTCGCATACACACATTTATACACATCCACTGACCTCCGCAGGGTAGTGGCTTCACTCTTGAGGTTTATCAAATCAAATTGTGATACTTTTCCAGCTTAGCTCAGTCCTCTCTACATTTCCCTGCTTTTTTGCTTTTCTATTTGAGTACATAATTCATGCTATACAACCCTACCACATCGCCTGGGATTCCTTTTTTCAATATAATTTGCCCCTTATCTAAATACCTAGACTCTTTATGTAATCGTATTGGCCGCTTAATGCCTATTATGGGGGGCTATTTCCTTTTTACTTTGCTATCTGCTATCTTGTGGCAGTATTCCTTGCTATGTTGTTCGCTGTTATAAATAAACAGAGTTTCGAGACTACCAGTAAATCAGTAATATGAGATGTATTCACCCTATTTCGTTGAACGTAATGAAGGACTAGTAGTAGAATTTTCCACAATGATATGAGTAGAGCCGACGCTTCAATTCAATTTCACATAACCTTGATTTCCCAAAAGTTTTTCCCATTCAGGGTGGACTGTCGTTTCGACCTAGCATCGGTCTTATCAACACCCCCAACGGGAGTCGAATCGTGACAGTGTAGAATGGTAGCTTGACGCATTAACCACTCAGCCATATTGCCAAGACTACCCTTGTGTGACAGAGCAGAATTTCAAGAAAGGCCAAGCCTTTTCCCATATCACATTCCTTGGTGGGATTGTCGATAAAGCAAACGCATTTTTGCTAGAACAATCGACGACATTACTTATTTTTCATATATACACAGAGTTTTGAGACTGTCAGTAAATCAGTTATGTGAGTCTCGAAACTTTGCTTATATAAGAAAAAGAAGTAATGTCGACGATTGTTATAGCAAAAATACGTTTGCTTCATCGACAATCCCACCAAAGAATGCTATATGGGACAAAGCCTGGCCTTCATTGAAAGCTCACATTTTCCACCCTCACGGTTCGACTCCCGCTGGGGGTTGATGAGAGCTATGCGAGGTCGAAACGACAGTCTACTTCAGCTGGGATGGAAAAAACTTCTGGGAAAGCAAGGTTATGTGAAATTCAATGGAAACGTCAGCTCTACTCATATCATTGTGGTAAAATTCTACTACCAGTAGTTCATCACCTTGAACGAGATAGGGTGAATACATCTTATATATTGTTATTGCCTAAAGTTTTTAGTATTAGCATCTCCATTTAGTAGTTGGGGTCGGCCTCGAAAGTAGATTCACAGGCGGTTTGAAATTGGTGACCTTCTACGCCTGTCCAGACTTAAGACATTCAAACCACATAGCATATTTTAAGGCCAGGATAGTGATTAAGTACAGTGTGTTTTGGGAACTGGTGAGAATTCTTTATGTGAATTGTTAGTCCTGAAGCAAGCTCACCCTGAGGTAATAACATATTCTTGCCGACTCAAGGTAGGCTGCGGCAAGTGCGTTATCAGGTATGGTTAGGGATGCTCGAAATCCAACTTTTCGATCCTCCATCTTGAGCATCTCTTCCTCACCAAGCTCCGGAATCAACGTGGCCACCGGTGTCGACATGGCGTTGGAGCGAAACAGAGCCTCGTGAACAGCCTTGCACACGCCGCACTGGACGTTCTGCAGACGGATCGCCATGCCTTCCGCCTGTTCTGAATACACACTCTTCATACCGACGACAGCTTCCACGCTTTGCGACTCAGCCACCATAATTGCGTTGGGTGCTACGCGACGCTTTACCTCCAACCAGCGACGCCAATTGTCATAGAGCCCAAGTGCGGGCAAATGGAAGACGCGCAGTAGAATGCACTGCATTCGGCTGGCCATGGATGGGTTATCTGCGAATACAGTCAGCGTGAGCTCATCCGATTGCGTGACAACGCGCCTGTTCAACTGGCATGGTTTGGGGGTTTCAGCGGTAATGAATCGTATTAGGAAGTCGTTTGGTTTTTATGTTGTTTTTAATGATGATAATTATGATGATAGTGGTGGTAGTGGTAATGATGATAATGATGACAATGAGAATTGCAATAATATTCATGATGACTAGGGAGGACATGCTGAGAATAATGGTGATAATATTGCAGACGATAATGATAGAAGTAATAAAGACGATGATGGCGCTTATAATGATAATTATAGTCTTTATGATGATTTAATGGAATTGGTAGCTATGGCAATGTTGATGATCATGAGCACGAAGCCAATGAAGAAGATAGCGATGATAATGTCTATAGTAGTGGTGTTAATAACGATGTTCGTGATTAGTATGATTATTATAATGAAGAGGATATTTGTGGTTGCAGTGGTGGCAAGAATAGCATTACCACTTCTGCTACTGCTGCTGATGGTGATGATTATGATTTATGTAATATTAGTGGCGGTAGCGATGATAACTGTTATGATTAGGAAAATAAATTCGAAGTGGAGATTCTGGCGGTAATGGTTATGATTATAACGGTGATGACAATGACTAAGCTAATGGCAATATTAATTGGGGCCCTGGCCGTAGTGGCAATGGTGCTTATTAGAATAGTAATGATTAAGGCGATATGTGCAGTAGTGGTGGGGTGGACATGCTGATCTCATTATTGCTGGTGATGATGAGAAAGCCTAGGATGTTAATGGCAATGGGGATGATGATAATGATGGGGATAACGCCAACATCGAAGATGATAATGATGATACTAATGAAGAAGATGATAATGATAAGAGGCAGGAGGGACATGACTATGATAAGGGAAATGAGAATGGTCAAAATTATTGTTTTGCTGAAAAATGGGGAAGGCTATTCTGATGATGGAGCGGGAGGATACTAGTGCTGTTGAGGAATTTCATTGGAAAGAATGGGTCGAATTTCCCGTGTCCATGTTCATCGTTTATTCAGTAAAAAGATGGCCTATAGAAATCTGATTTTTCTCCTACCTGTACATTTGTAGAATGTTCTTGAACGAGATTTTTATGTCTCCAGAAATTCTGCCAATCACAGACTATGCTAGCTTTAATGCAAACACCATCACAGCCTTCGCAACCACTCTGGCTGGATCGCAGGTTCGACCTTAGCCCAGCAGGACTTGTAAAGTGAATATACGAGCTCTGGGGTACATACTCTTGTGCCTCAGCCCCACGAAATAGGGCAAAAGACGTAAACCCTTTCGCACATCCGCACATCCTTGATTCCAGTTCTATGAGTGGCATTGGTCTTTTTGGACATTAGAGCGCAGTTAATTTGAACAGAAAATCAACTTGAGAAAAAAGGTCACATACAATTTGGTCCGTATCAAGCCTCAGACTGCCTTGTTTCCAGCACAATATTAATGAATAATAACATGCCTACAAAGATGGACGAATTTGGCACTTTCTGTGGTCTTAACATCGCATGCAATCACTTCTCAGTCGACACGATTATCCAAGCAAACAAGAGCCGGTTTTTCTTAATATCGCAAAAGCCGGTAATCTCGTTATCCAAGCCATCTTGCAGTCACTCTCTCAATTCAACCCACCTGAAAAAGTAGTTTCGA